AGCAGTTTTTCTGTATCTCTCCTTTGCTCACGTAGTGACGTCTCCATTACAGATATTTTAGTTTGCTGTGTTTGAATGTTGATTCGGGCAGCTGCAAGTTCTTCGTTTTGATACTGGATTTGCTGCTCCAAGGCATTCTTCTCAGTTTGTAGACAAGACACGTTTCTTTCTAGTTCCTGGTTTCTGGTGTGGCATTCCTGGGCTGATTGGTTCATCATATCCAAGTGGATCCTCAAACTGTCCTTGATGTGCTCATCAAGTGTATCCTTCTTTCCCTGTGTAAAAGCGAAAAAAATCATTAGTTAGAAATGTGTTAAATTCACTGGATCCGTTTAATTTGAAATTATGAGTATAAAGCAAGCTTTCATAAGAGCGCTAATCAGTCATTAAAATATTTTTGACTGTAGCCTAGTGGCCGAAAACAGTTAATTAATTCTGCATTTTGCACTAGTGTGAAGCTAATTGAAAATTCAGTGTCGCCATGGAAGGGGTTGGTAGTCTGTTGCAAGTTAATCCCAGTTTTTGTTTTTGACAGTTGACGACCTTAAACCGGATTACGGTACTCATTCTATTAGGTGGAGAGAGGATCTATGTGAACACAAGACAACGACCTTTGCTGTGCCTCAAAATCATGTCAATCTACTGACTGCTTGCAGGTGGTATTTCTCTTCGGTTTCGGTAAATATTTGGCCCAGTGCAGTCTCTTAACCCCTCAAAGCTCTCCTTTTATCTCTCCTACAGACATTGCACACCATTCGGAGCCTAACGTACCATACATGAGACAAATGAGCGTCCAAAACAACTTTAAGTAGTCGCGTTGAATAGTTTAAAGTCATTTAAGGCATCAATTAAAATAAAGAGAAACAAAACAAATACTTACTTTGAAATTACAACCGTGAAGAGTAAAAGGGCAAATCACTTCCGCCTTGGGGCATTCTGTAGTCACGTGCTCTTCCATCATGTCACGTGGTATGGTCTCTTTCCCACAGCATAAGATACAATCGATCGGGAACTTGAGGCAAACTTCCAAATGATCCTAAATAAAAAAATATTGTTCGAAACTAATTAACAATTAGACCCGTGGCCCTTTAGGGCGAAGGGTCTAATTGTTTTAGTATCACCCAACTAGTCGGACAGAAAAGGTAACAATAAAGTTAGCAAGTGCAAGTTGAAGAAATATTTATTTGGGAATAAAACGAAAAAAAGCGTCACGCTCGATGGCGCTAATTTCGCTACTCGATGACTATTACTAATAGTCCCCTAGTAGCGTAG